CTCCTTCCCGCCGCTCCCCGGAGCGTTCGGAAGCCGCTGGGGCCGGCGCTGAGCCTCGATGTGTGCGGGCTGCAGCCTCGCGGAGACCCCGCGTGGACACGGGCCTGACAGAGCAGAGGAGCGGTGGCACCGTCCCGGCGTGCCGGGCCACAGCGGCTGCCGGGCCGGAGCAGCGCAGCCCAGGGAGCTCTGCTGCCACGGCAGAAAACAACTGAAATCACCGCAGGTGCCCTTTCTTGGGGACATCCTTGCTCTTGTGTTTTATAGGTTTGTATTCTCCAGAAACCGTGCAGTCTTTACACTACTTGTAGCTTTTGTTTCTAGGGAAATTAATAATTAGCTTTTGTGTATGCAATCTCTCTGCATCTCCTCTAACAGTCTGCAGGAGCCGTAATAACTTCACACAGAATCGTAGAATATTTTGAGTTGGAAGGGATCCAGAGGGATCATTAAGTCCAGCTCTTGAGTGGCCCATACAGGGATCAGATTGCCACCTTGGTGTTATCAGCACCCCGCTCTAACCAACTCGCAAGTATATATATTCTTCAATGAAAAATCGTTTTTATATGGTATTGTAGGATTTCTATTTTTTTGCCTCTTTTGCTTATAAAGACTTATAAAGGTCTTTTCAGGAAATGCAGGTGCAACTATAGAAAGAAACTAATGAAGGACCACTCAGAAAGTTTTTTGTTAATGCGGTATTTTGATATACCCCCAAACCTTAAAAATTAAAATAAATCCAGGCAGTCTCCCTAATGCTCCTCAGAAACAGAGTGAGGCAAAAAAAAGGGGCTTTTGAGTTGATGTGTCAGCTTTAAAACTAACATTTCTAATAGCAAGGTTGTTGAAATTTCATTTTCATTTTTCTTCATATGCATATTCTAATTAACTTTTGCTCACAATTATATCACTATTCCATCATCAGATTAAAAACTAACCCATTTTTCTGCTTTTTTTTTTAAAAAGAAGCAACAAGAGTAAATTGTTAAGTAACTTGAACAGACTCAACTCAAATTCTGAATTCCAACTAGTTAGCAATTTTACTTAAAAGTTTCTTTTGGTAATGGGGGGAGCCCACAACTTTTGTTGAAAGTTTCACTGGGAAAGACTTCTGAGTTTCCAGATGGAATTTCTAGTAAGAACAAGTGAGATAATGACTCTGAAATAGTCTCGTTTGAGATGTGGGAGTTTCAGATTTGTGTTCCATGCTCCTGCTTTGCCTGTTCCAGGCCTTCCCACGTCTTGCAGAAATAGACTAAGGATTGGAATAGAAAACTGGTATCTGGTTTTCTAGACAAATTAAAGTTTAACTATTTGTCAACCCAAATGTTCCAAAAAAAGAGAATGATAGAAAACCTTTCTTGTTCCTTTTCTTCTGCTAAATCTCCTGTTTCACAGTAACTATTTCCAAAGTGCCTATGTATGCAATACTGTTAACACCACATAAGCCTGTTTCATTTTAATTTTATTGTGTAGCAGCTGTGTTCAGAAACCTTTAATGCAGCACTGTCACATGGGTATTTTGGATTTTATTGTTGGAACTGATTTGAGCAGTTACCTATATTGTAACCATGATCCCCCCTAGAAATGTGAGTGAAAATGGAGTTAACTTGAATTGTGTAGCAAATAGATGTTTTAAACCATCACTTTGGAGGTGCCACATGACTTCAGGGATGACAACATTAAAAGGAAATACTTCACATTAATAGGTAACCTCTTAGAGACTCTCTGTCCTCATTAAGTAAATGAGACTACAGAAAGAGTAGAGCCTTGGCTGTTACAATGAAGAAATTGAGTGTAGCAGGCTGATACAAACTGTTCTGTTCAGCAGAGGATCATCTTACCAATGTATCAACTTCTGATCTTAGTTATTCAGTAAAAGGTGAGCTGGCAAACCTTGGAGCACTGATTTAGTGTGTTAGTCCACCTAGCTAAATACCCCTCCTCACTGCTGGAAGTTTCTGTTCCTGTAGAAGTGGCAAAGTTCCAGTGTAAAACCGAATCTTAAGACAATTTTAAAAGCAGTTCCTTTGGTGGTTCCTGGAACCTGGCTGCTCATATTTGTGTGTTCACCCCCACTTGTGCTGGTACAACTGCCGAAACACAGAGTGAGTTCAGTCACCCAGAGAGAAGAGAAACATAAAAATGGGTGAACTGGAACACATCTGGGAGCACTTTCCTAGGCAGCAAGGCTGGTTTAACTGGTTCCCATCCTTGGCTGCTCATTCTGACTCCCACACAGTTTGCTGCCCCCTCGTTGTCATATGGATGCCTGCGCGAGTTGAGATCATGCAAGCAGTCTCAGTTACACATACAAATATCCAAAACCCTCCCAATACACATCGTTTAATTCTGACCCAGTTCAGGGATTCAGTTCCTTGGTTTGCCCCTGAACAATTGTGCTGGTAACAATGCTAGGGGAATTATGAAGTGGGTTAAAGGAGATGGCACCACTTTAAGAAAAGCACCATTTGAAGAAAAATAACCTGGGATTACATGCTCAGGAAAGCAGCCACGTTGTAAAGTGGCAAGGGAGCTGAGATAAAGCATCATACTGTCTATTTTTGGACATCATTAAGAGAACAACAATAAGCAACCTCCACCCAAGGCCAGTTTACCAGAGAGGACTCCGCTCCCATGGGGCCAGTTCCAAGAAGGAGCTCGCTCCTTGTCCTGCAGCACTGCCCTGATACCCACCAGAATCTGCTATCAGCCCTTGACCAGAAAAGGAGTTCCCTTCTCCAAAATCCTGCACTTCTATTACAGCTCTCCAGTCCTCACTTGGTAACTTCCTTCAACCAAGTGAAAAAACAAGATATGTACCTTCACTCTGATGGGCATGATTTCCCAGAAATGTTTATGGCTTAGCAAACTGACTGAATACAGCAGTAGAATTTGGCCATAGGTACAAACTGGTGTGGAACACGTATAGGCTGAAACTCAGAAGAAAATTTCTAGCACTCTGACCAATGAGGAGCAGGAATAGCCTCTCAGAAAAACTAATAAAGGCAAAAATCAAATTACTCTTATGTTAGAGCAGCGTTATGAAAGGAATTATATAACAACAGGGTCTCTGGGATTTGTTTCTCCTTACATCCTTTAAGGAATGCTCAGAAAGGCATATGATTCCTACAACTCTACCTTAACTGAGTTATCGAAACAATGTAAAGAGCTGTGCTGTGACTGAAGAGAAAGAGAAAAGCAACTAATGCAAACTTCTGCCTTTCAAAATCTGAAGCCAGAGCACGGAACTATGCAGTTCAGGCTTCCAGCGTAGTGAACACAGCTTCCTGGCTATCACGGACCACCATACCTGCACGGTATAGCTTTGGCAGTTCTTAGCCTCTACCTCGCACGGCATTTGCCCACTGAACACAAGCGCACGGAGGGGCGGGAACAGCCCCTCAGGCCACCCCGAGGGGCACGCGGGTGTCGCCGCCGCACCGGACGGGCCCCTCCGCTCCCCGAGCCCTGCAGCGCGGTCCCCCCGCTCCCCC